GTTCTATTCCCCACTCTGTCTCTGGTGAATCCTCTCACCCTGCTGCAGATCTGGCCTGTACCCTAGCTCTTGTATAAAAACAAATAAATCTTTAAAAATTTTTTTTTTAAAAAAGGAAGATACATTGTGATGATTAAAATGTTTCAGATGGTGATTCTCAAACTTTAGTGTGCACAAGAACAGTAAAGGGAACCTGTTAAACCATAGATTCCTATAGCTCATTCTCAAAGATTCTTATCTTTCAGACAATTTTTCCTCCTTCTTCCCATATTATTATTAATTTATTTTTTATCCTAAATTTAGGAAAGATGTGACACACCAGGGACATAATGATGCTTCTTGTAGAAAAAGAACTTGACATTAAGTGAGGTAATTCTGCCCTTGCTCCTCGCTAAGTCCACGTTTTCTTCTTTCCTTCAGTAAACACTGACTGTGTGCACTGAGTGCAAACAACTGATCTGGGGTCTGGCATTAAACAGGTCAACGAGACTCACAAATGTTTTGCTATCTCAGTACTTAGCTCTCCGTAGGAGATGGGGGAGGAGGCAATAGACAAGTAAACTTTGATTATTTCAGATATCGTTAAGAATTATAAAGAAAGAAAACAGGTGTGATGCTAGAGGATGACTGTTGAGAAACAGGGTATTTAAAGTGGGCTCCATAAAAAGATGATGTGATCTGAGGACTGAATCACTGGAGGAAACCAACCATGCAAAAGATGTTGTACAAGAGCATTCCAAGGAGAGGGAAAATCAAGTGCAAAGGCCCTGAGGTAGAATGAGTGTTCAAGAGTCAGCAAAGAGACCGGCATGCCTGAAATATGTGAGGGAACCACTGAGACTCATCAACAAGGTGTGGTCTGAGCTTCGGCATGGAGTATTTTAGCATCATTACTGCGGAAAGCTGGAAAAATACTCCTGACCCTCATAAAATTAAGGCTACATATTTTGATAAACATTACATGAATAATTCATTAAGAGCACCTACATTATTGTAACTCCTTACCCATGAGAAATAGTTCATTTCACAATTCTTTTGGTTGATATTTTGTGATAACAAGGTTTCACCATCATTGGTAGATTACATTTTGTGAGAGTTAAATGCTGAAAAAGCTCACTTTGAATTTCTTTAGATACAAATTATTTATCATTCAGTGGATGACTCGAATATAAAAGAGGGCTTAATAAATAGGGTGAACTTGTGAGAATCAATATACTTTGCTAAAGGAAGAAAACTTCTAGCATAATTTCAAAGTTACATGGCATGTGTGGGTTTTTTTGGTCTTATTTCAAATAATTTTTCAACTCTGGCATTGGCTTATCCCCTAACTGGACATTTATCAATTAATAGTGATAGTACCATTACCTTTAAGCAATTTTGTATTGTCTGAATAACTGAGTGCTTGAGGACAGAAAAATCCAGACAAGCACGCTATGGAAAGTGTAAAGTCCATTCCTAGAGGCTACTACTGGAGGGAAGAGATAGCAGCTCAGCTTTAAGCCCATTCCTCACTGCCCTGTCATTAGCCATCTCAGAAAAGGGCAGCCCAGGTGACAGTGGCTCCTTCTGTGATAAGGGCTCCTGTCCACGGGAAATGGAAATCAGTGGTTTCATTTCACAGATGGCAAATGACTTTATCTATCCGGGCCAGATCCAGACTGGAACCAAGAAAGACTTGGGACTTTCCTCTGAGGGTTGTTTGATGTGAGTGCATATGTGTGTGTGTGCATGTGTGTGTGTGTGCTAGTTTGGTTATATATTATGTTGTGGCTCTAAATGCAAGAGATTTCAAAAGCTATGAAAATCACCTTCTTTGCTTGAGTCTGGCTGATCTGGTTTGAAATCAATGACTTTCTAATGCAAGGGCCAGGAGAGTAATGGCAGGATACAGATATAGTGGCTGCAGTGATAGACATGTAACAAGATGGAAACTAGTTGGTTAAAAATTTGTGGGAAAGGGCCCGAGGAAAGGGGTTGGGAATGAAGAGATACTCTCTAACAGAAAATGAAATGGCTTCATTATCACCAGAAACTCCAAGTGGCCTTCACTTAGTCATACTGGAATTACAATTTCAGCTTTCATGGTTTGTGAAAGCGGAAGTAAGGAACATGACCATGGAAAGTGGTATTTTAAGCTTCAACACATACTGCTCATCACTGATTTGACTTGCAACACATCTTTGAACAAAAGCACATAGTGATTTAATCTTAACAGTAATTCCGTCTGCAGTGGTACGAGACAAGACTATCATAGCCAAAGGCTGTAATTTGTGAAATTCAGGTGCTGGGGATTAGGACCACCTGTTGAATTTAATCTTGAAGCTATAATGTTAACACCATCATGTAACTGAACATAAACAGTACATATTTATCAGACTTTGAGACCTCCAGCCATGGTGATGAGAACATTTTCCTAAATGGTATCTGTAACTCTCTCCAGACTCTGTAAATCAGCAGCAAATAAAAAGTCTGTTGGAATTCTGATTCAATATGCAGCAGCATATGGCTGGGTGGTCAGGACATTCAGCACATCCTATAATTTTTCTAAAGCCTGATGTGAGAGTAAAAAAAAAAAGCAATCAGAGTATTCTCTGGCAACATAATAAGAATGGGAAAGCTTTCGTTTCTTACCCTACTCTGTGCTAATTGGAAAAAAAATCCTAGCAATATTTTAACAAATGATTTGTACCTCTGTCTAAACTAGACAACAGGGAGAGCCCAAATAAACCTAGTTAAACAGCAACTTCTGGGGAGGACATAAACATTTTACACATGTACCCTCACACAGCCTTAAGAAATGGAGCTCTGCCCAATTCCCAGCTAACCAGTAGCGATAAAGAGGGTCAATGATTGCATTTTGAAAAGTTTACATTTACTCCAGAGGGGCAATTAGAGTCCAGTAAGAGGGCATAGGTTTTAAGATTTGCATTTGTACCCTTGCTTGAGATAGGGTAAATGCCATGGAACCCTTTGGGTATGTACTTTTGTGAGATGTTGGTTTTCTATGAAAGAATTTCATTAGTATTAATTATCTGCACAGACCTTCCTTGTCACATTTATAATTCTTTGCTAAGAATTCCAAGGGCTTTCACACATATTTATCATTCGCATAATACTTCATAGTTAATGAAACCCTTTTACTACAAATTATCTCGATTTCTCATATAATTTCACAATTCTTTCCCCAAAAAGAGCTGTTTTTCACTTTAATGAAATAAGACTCTGAGACATGGAAACGGGATCTAGTGCATTTGTGTGAATAAACACTATTTTGAAAATGAATATGAAGGCATCATATTTTGCCTTAGGCTATCAATATTCTTAGCAGGTATCTGTCCAGCAAGACAGCACAGGAAGGAAAATATTAGGAATATCTTCCCAAAGGCAAATCAAAGCTTCCAGCAAATTTCCCTCTTGACACCCCTATTAATCAAAGCTTCACAAGTGCTAGATAGCAATTTCCACTAAACAACAGCCATGAAAACCTTCTGGGTTCAATACATTCATCATACACCAGTTACACATAAGTACCACATCCCTCCACAGTCAGAACTAATAGCCTAAACTTTCCTCCAACTCTAGCCCCTATCGGTTGCTTGCACACACAGCACATAATCAATCAACAACTTGGAGAGAAAACTGAAGGCCCTCTCTTCTTTAGATTTATGAGTTTATCACCTCTTAATGAAATCTCCTCCTTTTTCCTTCTTCCCTAAATTATTCCCAGTGCAAATTCCACCTTTTCAAAACAACTTTCCTGGATCCAGGGCAATGAGCTTTCTCATCTCTGCATCTCAAAAGTACTCTTTATACTAACATTCCATCTAGCTAGCTAGCTAGCTATCAATCATCTATTTATCCATGTTTTATGGACCATTGTTTTTTTTTTTCACAAGCAGTTAAAGATCCTTAAGATCCATAAGGCAAGGATCTGCCTCAAATTCTTTTGTATGCTCCAAAATTTTGAGCACCATTCATCACACAAGTGAGGGGGAATATTTTGATTGTCACTTTAAAAAAGTTTGACTTTTTCATGCATAGTAAGGGCAATTTTTTCACACAAAAGAAACACTTGCTAATATTATTTTGGTTCACAACCATAAATATGTAGTAAAATTAAAAGAGGAAGTGTTGGGTGGTTTCACGAAATCCTCTAGCTTTATAGAGGAGATACCGAATGGAATTGTGTTTTAATAAAAATATATTAGCAGTTTCAAGTAATGGGAAGTACAGTTAAACTGTATTAAAATATCTTTTTGGAATCACGAAACTTGATTAGGATTCTCCCAGGGGCTTCATACGCTGAAACCAGAGATTTATTATTCCAGGGAAATAGGTTCAATTTAAAAAATTCAACTTATTAATTATTAGCCAAACCATGCAGCAGCTTCCCGAAAGACAGACGAAAACAGGCTCTCAAGGATGAGTTTCAAGCAAATGGAGGCTGAATTTGTGCCTCCAGCCTCCAGCGCCTGCCTGGGCACCGCTCCCCAGAGCTGTGATAGAGCAGCCCCGAGCAAGCCAAGCAGAGATCAGAGAACCTTGGAAGCTGAGCAGCAGCCGCCCACAAGCTGCTGCTCCCACCTTTTGGTTGTGAGTCTAGAAACGTTTAGGTAGCCACCAGCCCAGCGCACTCCCGGGTCTCCTCCCACATCCACGCGACTAGGCTGCCAAACCACTCATTTCAGAAACCCAGCACCCACCGGTGGCTGCAATTGTGGGGACCAGGGGGTTCTAGTTCCAGAACCAGATCCTGTTAGAAAACAAGGCCTTGGGTTCCACTCAGCTCATGCTTATTTCCTGAAAAACTTTGCTTCTTTCTCCAAAGAGGAATCCATAAGAAGTAGGAACTATCTCAACCCACCCCAGAGGGTCCACTCCCCCGTCCAGCCGCCGAACGGCACCTACTCACGGCGCCTCCCAGCCTTGGGAATGGGACAGGCTTTGGTGTATAGGATCCCCTAGCTGGGTGGCAGACTGACTGGCGAGAGAGCCGTCACCTTGTGATCCGCCACGCCGAGGTATCCGTCCAGTGGCTTCGGTCCCGCGGGGGGCCCGGGGCGCGGCAGGGGGCTGCTCTCCACCGAAGGCTGCGCGCTGTCGGTCGCCGCTGCCTGCTGCTGCTGCTGCTGCTGCTGCGGTGGCCGCTCCTTCTGGCCGCCGAGGCTGCTGTACACGAGCAACAAGCTGGTGCACATGGTAGTGAGCGCTAAACACACTGCCAGACCATGGCGCTGCGGGCGGGTGGGAGAGAGCAGAGAGTAGCTGAGAGCCGACCCCGGAGCTGCGCGCCCAGCTGGAACGCCCCCCACGACGGTCAGGCTGGCTGGGGAGGTCCTGGGGCGAGAGGTGGCTGGGGTCCTCGACCTGGCTGCGTGCAGCCGGGATAGAGGAGGCGCTGTCCCCGCGCGTACGGCAGGGGATGCTCCCGGCGCGCGGCTGCTCTCGGCCGCCGCCTCCCAGATCTCTCGGCAGAGGGCAGGTGGTGCGCGGCGATCGGCAACCACGCCAGGAGCGCTCCCCGGGCGAGAGCAGGGGTGGGCTCGCACCCTGGGGTGAGGGTCCTTTGCCCTAGCTCGGCTGCTACAATTTCTCGCTCTTGCACCCTCTCCTGTTTGGACCCGCGGGGCTCTACCTGGGAGATCGCTGCAAGTTTGAAATACAAGGTAACCAAGAAAGTCTTTAAAGGTCCTTCCTCTCCTCCCCGCCCCTCTTAGTTTTTGCCAGACTGTTGCTTTTGGCCATCCTCTCCCCCCACTAGCAATGCGCCCATCCCTCCGCGGCTTCTCCTGCTCTCCGCTGGCCTCTCGGACCTCTTGCTGGAGGTCCAGGAGACTAAGCAAGCCGAGTTCCCATCCCGGCTTTGGGATTCCGAGCTAGGCAGAACCGGGGAAATCGGGAGGGAATGCGGAGCAGGTGGAAAGTTGTCCCTTTGTAACAGGCGACCTCACGGCGCGGGGTTAGGCGCCCCCGAAGCTGCCCGGTGCGCCCCGAGGACGCCGCGCCTGGAAGTCCCCGCCTCTGCCCAAAGGAGTTGGCAATAAATGACTCACCATCAGGGTCTTCATTTTGGGCACCTCTTTTGTGCGGAATCCTCAGGCACGCGTGTCCGGGGTCACTTTTTCTTGGAGGTTCTCCATGGTGGGTGATGGGGAAGGGAAGCCTCTGATCTGCGCTCAGCGGCCAACCGCGGCTGAGTGGGCAGCGAGCCGCGGGACCCAGGAAGCGCCGCTGTTGTGGAGATTATAGACAGAATTAAAACTGAACCGGACCCTCGTAGTCTCTCAGTGATCTACACAACTGCCGCCTGCCGCCGCCTGCTGGGTCCTAAAGACCTCTGCATCTCCCCCTTGCAGCCCCCAAATAATAATCCTTTCAGCAGAGTGGCGTTTCTGGGGCGAGAGTTAACCGTGCCTGTATACCCACCTCTTGGTCCAAGGGCTTATTTATGTTTCATGAAGTCATCAGCTGAAAAGGTAGGGGAACCAATTGGATTCTGAACATGCTAGCCATTTGAAAATTTACAAACTAAATTTTTGTTTTGTGATTTTGGTGAAAACAGGTCAGCCGCCCCAATGTCAGTAGCCTTATTAATAGGTCTTACTTTTATGTTCCTAGCTAAGCCAACCTGTCACAAAATTATTTTTCTAAAAAAAAATTTCAGTCTTCCAGTTGTAAGTTTTCCAATATTCTCCTTAATTTTACTTTTTCAATCTAGTTACTCTTAACACAATTTTATAGCATAGAATTTCATCTAAATTATCTCATTCATTACTTGTTTTAAATATTATAAATTATATTTCTATCAGATCTTTGAGGTTCCTAATGGCCATTTAAGATGACTTTAAAGTGTTAAAAAAACAACCAGCACATCATATCCACATGATTAACTGGATCTGTAGATTCTCCCTAATTTTAATGCAAGATTCTAGCTACTAAAGATAAAACTGCTTACTGCTTATTTCATAAGAATCTTACAGTCGTTGGAGCTCTTCTTATGTTGGTCTACCACACTGAGAGCACTTAAGTCCACATTCAAGGGCTTCAATTAAAATTTAAAAAATTACTTTTTTTTTGCATTGAGAATTTCACATCAATAACCTGTTTAAAAGATATTCTCCCCTTTCCCTGCATTAAATTACAAATGATATTTATTAAATGTCTAATTTAGTTAAAAACATATTTCTTATGAAATTGCTTTGTGAGAATAGTTGTCTTAATGTAATACTTAACACCTTACCTGTAGCAGTGTAATGTTAAAGATAGCATTAAGATGAAAATGATCAGCAGGCCAAGTGAACCATAGGCACAATAAGAGCTTTCTCAAGGCCAAAAAAGGCATTACAATCCTTTTTTAATCTTCACTAATCCAATGCTGGACTGATGCTATAACAAGAACTATTTTTAACTTATGAGATATCTTTCCATTCTTAGTATTAAGAAAGTTAAAATTATTGGCGCAACAATGACTATCAATGCAATGTGTTTGAGGGAAGGCAAGGCATACAGGGGATTTAGCCTTTCAAGGGAAAACAAAAAATTTGAAACACTGTCCAACATTGCCAGGCTTGAAGCTATTTATTCAATTTGTGCTTTAGGCATGAATAGTACCAGTTGTTAGGGCAGGAAAAGCAGCAGCCAGAAGAGAATCTTATCTGGTCTTGGCAATTCCTTATTGTATGGTTGCACTTGACACTCAAATTAGTGAAACAAAGGACCAACTTGAAGAATCATTGCAAGCAGATTATCTGTGTTTCTCCAGGGCTCCTTTTGAGAGACTGCTAGACCCAGTGCCTGCATTTTTCAGGATCTTTCCTCTTCCATCTAGTAAGTTGCCCAGTGACCGATAAAACCCTCCTAATATATTTTGACATGCCAAACAGAGCCATCATATTTATGATTTAAGCTCATGGCAGCATGGTGGACATCTGTTAGGTGATATGTCTGACCAAATTCATTAAGCTTATGCTTTCCACCCCCTGCTGAGATAGCAGTTAGCTAGTTGCTAAATCTACTTCTGGAATAGCCAGGATAAATTTTAAAATGTAGCTCTGAATTTGATTTGAATGATTTCAAGGTCTTTAGCTTTCAAATATTTGATTAGATTGACTTGAGCCAGTTTCAGGCACTCTGACCTGCCTGAGAGACAGACTGCCAAGTAGAGGTGGGGGAAGGGCAGAGAAACTAAGTAACAGGTTAGAACCTGGGCACCTTTCATTCTGTGATAACTTAATGGTCGCAATTCTGTATTAGAAAACGCTGAGATAAATTAAGACACAGACCCTCTCCTTTAAGAGCTCACAGCCTGGTGTATATGTGTGCATATACGCCCATGTGAAATATGTGAGATAAGTCCACAAATAGGCCCTATAAGACAAAGTGCTAGAGAGATTAAACATTTTTGTATTTGTTTGTAACTGGGTAATCCCCAGGGAAAGGGGAGATTTCCGGTTCCCTGCCCCACCCAAGAAAGGGTGGGGCTGGGCAGGGAGGAGAAGCTAAAGACCAGGAGAAGAAAGGAGACATGAAGGAGACCTGAAGGAAGCACATGGAGCAGAGAGAAATGTGAAGAAGTTGTGCTAGCTTCTCTGCCTTGGACTGGTACCATAGACTTGGGGACATGGAAGGAAAAAAAATGGGTGAGAGACCCAAGGAAGGGTGATAATGACAGCCTTTATCTTGATTTTGATTTTGCTCTTTTCCTTCCAGACTTGTCTGGCCCCTTCTGCCCCTTTCCTATAGGAGCCACCAGAAGGTGCCTTAGGCTTGTGGCAAGCTTTTGGGCCTCAGTGGCGCTGCTTTTGGCCAACCCTGTTTGGCTGGGCATTTATCCACAAGGGGGATGGGTACCTTTGGGTGCTCTTTTTTCTTTGTCTTTTCTTTGTTGCACACTCTTTGTATTAATGTTCTTTTCCATTGAAGGTCTTATGCACTAGAGTATGTTTTGTCTTGATGCGGTGGATGGTAGAACCTTTTTAGAGCTGGCAAATTTGGGGCTCCTGGGGTACCCTTCACCCTGGCCTGGGACCCTGGCACCTTCTATGTGCCAGACATTGGGGATATCTTAATGAATAGATCCTATCCTGTCTTGACAGAACTAGTCTTTTCCTAAATAAGTACTATGTGCGTTTATGCTACAAAGAACCAGGTAACAAAACATTTGATTTGTTTTCCAACTTCTGAAGTCATGCTTATTTAAGATTGCAGGGATTTGATATTTCAAGGGTATTCACCTGCATTTATATAACTTTATGTACGCTTTTAAGTTAATAATTGGAAAAGCCTGAGAAAACAGAAAATAGGCAGTGTTCATATACATTTGATTGACTTAGAGACAAGTAGACAAGTCAATAAAGCTTTTTTAGTTCATCTAACTTGTCCAGTTCAATACAAAGTGTGTCGAGGAATAACAATTTGCTTCTCAAAATTCAGGTAGCTGAGATGGATTTCTCACCATTTAAAATTTTGCCACATTTCTGCCTCTGGTGCCATCACATCCAATCAAATAGATTCCTACTTTTGTAAAAAAGAAAGGAGAGGAAAGGAAAAGAAATGGAGTGTGTTCCACAATGTAGGTTATGTGATAAACTAAAGTGAGAATTTATGAACAAGGCATCAAGGACCAGGAGGAAGGAGGTAGAATTTAAAGCACATGGACACAAGACACCACAAAACTATCAGAGGAGGCAGAAAGACAGATGGCTGGGCACCCATGAGCACTGTCCAGGATTCCTAAGTGACCTCTTAATTCAGGAACAAACATTTCAAAGATGGATGAAAAGCTGAAAACAATGTAATATAAGGTGCATTTCAGACAAACTGCATCTACCTTGTGATCTTTAACAGAAACGTTCTGCTAAATGCTACAAAAGCAAAAAGGCTAATAATGGTAGAAGGCATTATAAATCAGAGACATCCTGCAGGGGAGGAGGTGGGAGAGGGATGAGAGGGAGGGAGGGAGGAGCCCAGGGGACTGAAGTGATGGTGCACAGGTCCATCGGTGAAGGAAACTCTATGGGCATGACACCTGAGGGGGTGGGGGAAGCAAATATTGTTTAAAAATGAACAATGATGTAAAAAAATAAAAATAATTAATTAAAAAATACAAAAAAAAAATGGCAGAAGGCCCCTAGAACAAAATTTATATTTGTCCATTTGTTCCATTAATGTTTCAATTTACTTTACTTTCTTTACTTCCTGGGCTAAGTCTAGTGGACTGGTTGGCTGTCCAACCGGAGCAGACATTTCTCTAATAGGTGTCACCTTGGTATGGTAAAGTAAGGTCAGTTGAGGCCCTCTGAGCCTTGGGAAGTCTGTTACCATTATTTAAAGGATGAAGAGTTCTTTAACTTTTTATTTTCTTACATCATTGTTCATTTTTGTACAATATTTGATTTCTTCCCTCAGGTGTAGTCCCCATAAGTCTCCCACCATCATATAGCCTGTAAACAGTCACCATAGTTCCTTGTGCTCTTCCCTCCCCTGTTTTGACCCATTTTCTCTCCCCCTTCTGAATGCCTCAGATCTATAGTTTGCCTGCAAGTTTTGTCTATTTTCTGACTCTTTGTTTGGTTTCCCTATATTCCTCCTATATGCAAAACCATCCTATGCTTTTCTTTTTCCTTCTGACTTATTTTACTGAGCATAGTCCCTTCCAGCTTCAAGAGACACAGATTATTCTAAGATCCATGAACATTCCAGAGGCTAAGGAGAAGAAGTCTTCCTCTCCTTCACTCCTCACCCTCAGGTTCCTTAGCACAGGATATATACCTCTGGTTTATCCCATTTTACTTTAGAATTTGCAGTCATGTAAATTCTCCATATTACATTTTTTTCCCTACTAATCTGTTGGATGTTAATTTCTTTATTCATCCAGCCTCAGAAGAACCCAGATGGAGTTTGGATATTTTCCCTGCACTCTGACAGCTGAGAACAAGTCCCCAGAGTCAGGCTGCCAGGACCCAGATTCTTATTTTACCACTTAGTAGTTCTTTGACTTTGGACAAACTACTCATCTGTGTTTTAGTTTCCTCAACTGTTAAATAGCAAATGTAAAATCACCTACCTCAAGCAATTGTTGTGAAATTTAAGCAAGAAACCACAGTGAAATATATAGAGCAGTATCAACAGATTGCTAGCTATTAATAATATTTTGTGATTATGATTAATAAACTGGGTTTGAAGGAAAAAGACCAGGGCTTGGCCTATGGGACTAATAACTACATGACCTTAAGTAAGGAACTTAAAGTATATTAAACAGACTCTTAACTTATCTATAAAATAGATATCCCAAAGCCTATTT